AAGCTGAGTGGGTAATTGAAATGCTCAGAAGTGAATGGCATGATTCGGTAGAGATTCAACCTCTTGGCGCAGCAAGTATAAACAGCAAAATTGTGTGTCACACGCATGCATGCGCATTAAGTGCTTGCCTTCACATAAAGACTGCCAGAAACTGGAATTATTTGGTGTCTTGAGCAGTGCTTGCTACACACAAGGCGGTTGGGTTTCCTTCCAGGGCGGATTTGAGGCAATCATCAATGTTCTGTGCATCCTTTTACAGAAGAAAAGACTTGGGAGCAGATGGTACGCAGACGGTGAGAACCAGGAGGTCCACAGCACAGTGGATTCACCACAGAACCAGACCGACTTCATAGACAGAACCTGGCATTATTCCCACTAGTGAGCCAAATCCTCTTTGGGTCTAGTCACTCTGGAGTGGAACTGGGTTTTACTTAAGGCTCCTTCACCAGAGTGTAGGTGCTTGTGGGGTACATTAAACAACCGCCGCCTCTCTGTCATGTTCAATAGCCTTAAATACAGACAAATACCTTGCGGGGGCTTTTGGATCTCATTGTGCAGAGGAGATATAAGGTGGAAAACTGAGTCTAGGTGGATTTATCCTCTTCCACAGCCCAGCTACGGATTATGTAACAAAACATATTTACCCACGGTTTCAAATTGATGGCAGAGGGAATAGACTGGGCACCGTGGCTGCAAGAGGTGGTTATCACAGTTACAGTATAAACTGGAACTGCACACACAGTTATGACAGACAGTATTAGTGGTGACTGGATCCAAGCACTCAGATGACTGATGGGATGGAGGGCTTGGCCTCAGTTGAGCTCTACAGCAGAAAGGGTTTCTCTGGTTACACGCACAGGGAGATCAATACTCCCACAATGGCCCGTCGCTTTCCAAGTACAGGTACATAATCCAATGGACGGAGATAATCATGATATGCCTCTTACTGCTTTGCCCCTTTTCTCTCCATGAGGTCAGCAGGATGGCAATGAGTCATCACAGGCTTGTACAGTAGAAGTAGTCATAGAAGCATTTAGAATATAAATTGTTATCAGTTTCAATATTTGCCAAGCCATTCCATAACCTCATACTGCAAAATTTGTACTTGTGTTAGATTTGGGGTTTGGCCGGTGCCTGCACTAGAAATGCCCCTAAATGAATCTACCTCCAAATCAAGCAAGCACAGCTGCACAAATGTCCCATTGGCCTGCTAGCATAAAGACTATTGTGTCGTCTGAGAATCTGAAAGCCGATTTGTAAAACTGTTGGAAATTAGCCCGAGTTGCAATGGTGTGTTTGTGTTGGACTTTACTCCCTCTTAAATCTCGAACCAGGGGGATTACATCAAGTGTGAGAGAGATTTAACATTTTAAGTTGTTTGTACAACATCTAATGTCATTGACACTGCAGCAGTGGCTGTTGTTCAAATATTATTGAAGGGTGGGTGGGCAAAAGGGAGGAAAGGATGAATATACACAGATTGATTGAAAGGTGTACAAGACAGCGGAATAAAAAAAGCTGAGAGTGCCGATTCAAACTTGTCACCCACGACTGTTTTTAAACCAGTGAATCTGGTGACAGCGGTTGCTGGGAAATGTCTGCAGGGAATTCCTTAATGGCATCAATGTGGAACAGTGTTATCTCTCTGTTCACCTTTCCTCTCCTCTCCTCTCCTCCCATCAGCTCCCAAGACTGACCGAGAGAGGAACCCAGTTTGTCAATGCTGATAGTGCCGGAGCAGCTATTAATAAAGTCTCTTTATTGTTTATAGCCTGTTCAGAGCAGCACTCCTGGGATCCAGAGGATAGAACTGTCTCCAGAGTACAATGCAAATGTCTGGCGTGCTCGCCAACCAAGCGGCCACAAGACAAAACTTTCTTATCCCTCTTGAGATAGTCTACCACATGTTCCATTGAAATATAATATGAAATGTAAATATTAGTTTGAAACAAGTGGGTAAAAAATAATTGATAAAGATTCATCAGCAATGCACATATTGAAGGAGCTGTTTAGGTACTGACGAGGTTTTTTGACAATATCCATCCACATACAGTTGTCCATTCTAACAGGATCTCTCCTGGAGAATATTACTGAAATACTCTGTGCGACCCCGCTGGTTAAAACATACCAAATTCTCATTTCATTTTTTGCCAAATGTCAAGGATTAGCTTGACATTGGAATGACAGTCAAATGGGAACAGCTCTTGTCACAGTGTAGCGCCAAAAAATGTTTTTGATCCGTGCGCACCACACTATCTTTCTCTGCCATTTTTGGGACAGAGTGTGTTATCAGGACACTGCTCTACTGGCAAACACGTCTGAGAGCAGCAAATGAATCCCAGCAGTGTGAATGATATACAGTGTTTACACTGATCTGCAACTTGTACGGAACACATCAGACACGGTTTACACAACTCTTCATGTTTGCTGTGAAAATGCCTCTGCTCTTGACATTATCTGGGCTTTACTTTCCTCTGCTTGTGTATGTTTTACAGAGGGGATTAGATCTTTGCCGACACAGAGGGAAAAGAGGATCATTTGCGTTGTCTTTGTGTGCAGCGGCTAAGCTGGGAGCAAGGGATCTTTCAATGACATCCAGTGTAATTTAAATACATAGATATGTAGAAATGCAAGCCAGGGTGATCAGATAAGCATTTCCATAAATAGTGAGTACCTACATGCTGCTTCCTCTGTCTCCATTTAATCCACAGCATCTTTACGGTCTGCTGTTATATAATCCTATGCTTATCGCAAACATTTGTGTCTGGTGTCCGTGGAGAAGAACTGATAAAATGTTCATTTTTAGATTGTCTTCAATTTCAAGTTAACCTTAAAAGCACTTCTTACTTACTTAAATAGCCATAATGTGTATTTTACCTCTGTAAATTTGCACTTGGTAATAGTGAATGGACATGAGCTTGTATAGTGCTTTTCTAGTCTTCTGACTACTCAAAGCGCTTTTGCACCGCGGGTAACACCTACCCATTCACACACTGATGGCAGAGGTTGCTATGTAGTGTTTAGAATTTAGAAGAAACTAATCCCATTCATACACATACTGTACATACTCCGCCAATGAAGCAGCGGGAGCAATTTCGGGGTTAGGTGTCTTGCCCAAGGACACAGCAGACATGTTGCTGCAGGAGCTGGTGATCAAGCCCCCGACCTTCCGGTTGGGAGAGGACCGACCCTACCAACTGAGCCACAGCCGCCACACCTTGGGCGTGGTACAACTTTATTTTATGTTTGGTTGTGTGCGGAAGTCAAAAAAAGCGGTTGAGTGGTATTTTTGGTTGACCTTAATCATTTTCGTCATCATAATTTTTTTGTCTTATGTCTAGGATTATTTTGTTATTCTTTTGTTTAATATATCCTCAAAACGTAAGAACTTTGATATGATTTTTGTAGCAATGAGTCACATGTCCATGCCCATTTAGTCTCTCAGTGGCATTTTCCAACGAGCTCAGACGTATTGCAGCCTCTTCTTGAACCTCCACTTCCTGATCACTTGCATTTCAGAGTATGGCCTCTCCTTTGCTTTGCTTTATTATCACTCATTGGAAGTGATTATTTTACAATGTCAGACGTTTGCTCGTGAAACAGTGCTGGATATCCTCCCATTGGACTTCAGCAGCTTATATTTCGATATTGTATTTATTTGAACTGAAGAGTGTTGCATTTCACTGGCTTTCCACGAGTGGGGAGTTTTAACTAGCGGTCGAGCAGTGGAGAATTAACAACACATGCTTAAGTCGGAAATTTAAGTCTGATTTATGAAAAAAAAAAGGCCACCACAGAACTTTCACAAGTCTGCAGAGTCCTTAGAAACACACACAGTGACACTTTAACACACAGCTTTAGCCACAGAGCTTCTCCATTCTCCACATGGATGTAACTTAGTCACAGTATAATAAACTGTGATGAGAGGTTTGCAATGGCTGCATCGGTAGGTACTAGTAGCCTTAAGTAAGATAGATCCATCTGGGACTCTATGCTTGAAAAACAAAAGCAGTGCATGGGGGTCAAGGAGACACCCATGCACCAAGACCCAGGACACAGGACAAAGCTTTAGGAACTAAATGTGCCATGGAGTCACAGTTTCCAAACAAGAGAGCAAACACTGCCCGGGTAGTGCTGAAATATGAGAAACTATCAGGGTTTACTTCAAGTTTATTTACTCTTTCACCACTTCACTAAATGATCCTCCCAGTCAACAGTCCATGCCAAAAATGGAGAAAAATCCTCGAGGATTGAATATTTTCCTCTTTCTGTTCAACAATGTTTTTCTTCTTTTGACAGCCTGAATGGTATCTGCCACTGTAATTGCTTCCTTATTTGGTGAATTAAATATTTACACTTGGCCTATCCTAATCCAGTGTTTATGAGAGACATAAAAGTGCATTAAGGGAAAAGACATTTATTTTGAAAGAGCTGCTAACTGAGGCCATCACCCCAAATGGTGTGTTTGGACGGTCTGAGAGAAATGGTTTACTTTCCAAAAAAAAAACTGTATTCAAACACAGAGAAATTCCAGATTTGACTTCTCATTTAATGGCCTGACATACATGCTGTGTGCACCGCAAATATCTCTCAAGCTGACGGGAGGAAACAGAGACGGCCATTGAGGAAACCTGCAGTTCGTACTTTGAAGAATTCCACTGGGGAGAGGAGGGGAGATGGGAGAGAGGGGGAAAAATATACCTCAGAAAAATAGCTGGCTCGAACTCAGCAGCCATGGAAAAATACTGATATTTCACGCACGGAAACGCCAATGTGCACCTCAAAAAATGCAGACGGAGAAAAAACAAAGACTGAGTGCAAGGTACAAGGGTTACAAGAAACAGGTGGAAGTCTAAGAGGGGGAGCGTTCCCCTATGGGGTAAGTGGGCTGTTTTCTTTAATATTCACCAGAGTAGTGCAAAGTGAACATGGAAGGAGTCTGGACTGTCTGACAGAATATCTCTCACACACATAAACATGTGGCTGTATAACATCCTTACCTCTCCTGCAGTGCCTCATGGCCATTTTGCACATCCTGGACTCAGCAATGGTGGGACAGGGTATTGTGTCCTTGGGTGGTTTCTTTACAATGTGCCGCGTCCGGGTCTCCAGACCCCACTTATAGCCACAGGTTTTGTTTCTCCTGGTGCAAGCTCCCCACTCGCTCCACTGGCCCACCTCACAGCCCTCTGCAGAGACACACAGGAACAGTGATGTGCAGTGAAACCACAACTCAGAGCAATTTAGAGGCAACGGAGAGACCCCAGGTCAAGCTTTAATAGAGGGTGAAGGAGCTTTACTGGGATGCTATAACCGCTTTGTGTGGTCCAAGATGAACTGCTTGTTTTTATGTCCATAACAAACAGGCCGACTGAGGTTATAGAAAACTGTGTGCAGGTAAAGAAAGACATTATTTTACCACTTTTTTTAGTATATATGTTTTTGCACATACCTCCACACTCCATGGTTTCCTCCAGTGGGGCAAAGCCCTCAGGGCACTTGTCAAAGCATCGCCCTTTGTGTAGGTAAAAACCGGACTTGCACTTAGTGCAGAAGTCTTTGCTGAAGCAGGACTCACAGTTCTCTATCCTGCACCCTGGAGGAAGAAAGAGAGAAAAAGGACAGACATCAGGGTATGAGCAACCCTCTCATCTGGAGTTGATCGAGAGCTGAGGGGTTTGGGGAAGGGGGTTCTTGAAAGGATTCTACCGTCTCTCCCACAGAAGAAAAAAAAAGTGGATGCCCTGTGAATCATTTCTCTCCGGGGCTCAAGTGTATTTCAGGAAAAAAAAACTTGTTTTGCCTGAAAGAGATACTTCTTTCATGTCCCTGCTCTTGTTTAGAGTGAACAAATCAACAGTGTGAAAACGCAACAACAGAGACAATGAGGAATTATGTCACGCCGCGGCCTCTTTCAACAGATTGCCCCGACATCCAACAATCTGGATACAAACACACAAACTCGCATGTTTTCAGCATGGTGTGCTCAAACAGGAAGAGTACTATTGCTCCACACTGCGCCAAGTTTGTTTCTTTCCAAAACTAAGCTGTGGGTTGAATTGAATTGAATGTTTTGGCTATAATATAAAAGGGGGGAAGGTGAACTGGGAAAGGGGGGGGGGGGGTTGGGTGGAGGGTCAACAATACTCTGTGTTCCCCTACCAAATACTGATACATTTAGTAAGAAAACATAACACCCTTATCCTCCCACGCCACACCCTGCTCTTGCATATTTTGCACAGTTGCCGCGCTCACAGTGAAAAGTGGCATGGCTGACGGCGATGTGTCATAAAGCCCTTACTCTGCAAATAGCACGTCAGACAGAAATTACAACAACCACACCAACAGGGCGACACACAGGCCCACATGATTATAAGGAGCCTCCCAGAGCTGCCTAATTTACGACCCTCCTCAGAAGCTTTATGGGACCCTATTGCTTAATAGACTTACAATGTCAAGTAACCACAATCTATAAGCTTCCCAGGTAAGGATGTTATCTGCTCCTCTGATTGTGTCGTGCACAGGGACATAACCATTCATAACTGAACGAGCATTTCTTGACACGTAAACCTACGCTACTGGGATTTCCCAAGTGTGAGCGCTACGGACGCTAAGGGCTGCTCTTTTATCTGTGACCCTTGCTGGGCCTGGGGAAGGGAAGGTTCTCACAATCACACCCCTTAATTACACCATCTCCAGCTAACCATCAGGCCTCCTCCTCAGCATTCCTCCAAAACGAGGGGGTCCCTCCCCGCTTTACTTTGAACCCTAAAGTATGGCCTCTGCCCACTCACTCTGGTCTCACGCTTTCCCGACCAGTCTAAACAAACCATGGAAACACACAGACAAACACACACACACACACACACACACACACACACACACACACACACACACACACACACACACACACACACACACACACACACAACATACCAATCAGATATGGCTGTAGATAGTGCAATGAAGCTCTATTCTGGAAAACATAAATCCCTGATTTCTTTGGTTGTTTCCTGTGTTCAATTTAAACATCTGATATTATTCATCTGTATTTCAAACTGTGGAGCCATTTTATCTTATTTCTTATTTCTTTCTTCCATGTCTTGGATATCTGCAGTTACGCAGTGCTGTTGAGATTTGTCTGGAGTGTGTAAGTTGAAGGGATGTACAAATGTATTCACAGGATGTACTGTTTTTCGCTACCTCTCAACCTTTTACTTTTGCATGATTTTGAACCAGTCAGGCTTGAGTTTGACACAAGACAAGCACAATACAAGGAGCAGGCTAATAAATCACCAAGCTAATTTGAAAGCACTAAGCTGTCTCTTACCCTACACACTTCCCAGGCCTGTCATCACCTGAGAGACGTTAAGCTCCCAAACACAAAAATAAAAGAGTAAGAATGGGGGGGGGGGCAAGAACATCTGGCAGTACTCTCAAGAACTAGGGTTGTTGTGCAATCCTCAGTTATTGACAGTAAATACAAGCAACACAGATGTGCGAAATACTGTATTCTTGCAGCAGCAACAATTTAGTAGGTTTCTGATTGTGACATTGCTGTTTGTTTCAGATGTGGTAAGGCAATTGTGCAAATGCTCGGAAACCTTGATTTCTAAATGAAAGATAAGTAATAATGTCCCTATATGAGATGGATGAGGTGGATGACACATCAATGCAGCTTCATGGGAGTTAGAATGCTGGGAGGCAAAGCCGGAGGGTCTAAGGTCATCACAGACGAGGTGGGTCGGAAGGGATCACCATGACAGACATTTATCCCTCCGTCCAGTTACTGGCAAAAGGCTATCTAGGACAGCATGGGCTATCTGTGATACTGGAGATGCTCCCACGCTGATCTGTGGCCAGGCCAGTAGTCAGGCATCTTGTCCAGCAACTCTAGAAACAGATACAGGGGAGCGGGTTCATTCTTCACGCAGGATTAACCTCTGGACCACCTTTAAAGTCTTCATCTAGGTGCCTCTGGGAGACTAATGAGAAATAATGAGGTCATCAGATCCCATTGAACGCCTGGTGTTCTTGGGACTTAAACGTATTATCATCATTATCTACAAGGCTGGTTCTGGACATGAGTTATATTATGAACACAGGAAAAGAAAAGCCTTATGTTTCAACTCGGAAAGGAATTTCAGAAGCTGCTAATAAAGTGGCTGTGTGCAAAATCTGGAGCGATAATGCAAGCTCTATACCCTGAACCTCTGTTACACTCAAACATGTTTGTTTGAATTTTCACAATGTGGTTTGTATGTCAAGTGTATTTGAAGTTACGAGATGAGTCACAGAGCGTTACTTGTGACCTAATGGCACATGGTTGGCAAAAGCCGGTCCCTTTACTGTGGTCCATAAGAAACCGAACGGTTTTATCATGGACACTCAAAGCCACATGTCAGCTTCAGTCAACTGCTGTTCCTCCGCAGGCTGACAGCGCCATGTGTAATCACTATATTTATTTACATGAACATTCACTGTGTAAAGAAAGGGTGCTAAATCCTTTGCTGGTGATTGATGAATCTCTTGCGTTCCATATGGGTTCTTTTTACATCATCTAGGCTGGAGTAGGGTTGTCTCCTGAAAGTCTAATCCTCCTAAGGAAAGCTTACCAGACCTGATATTGTGCGGAAGGAGTGTCCATGTTGAAAAAGGCCTGGTAGGGAAAAGGGGGAAACAAGCTCTGTTTTTCCATCCCACACCTCCAAGCTGAGTAGAACAGCTTTGACCTACGCTATGGCTTCTCGTCTTGGCTGACATAGAAGCTTTGACTTGCTCGCTGCCACCCAGCAATGTCGCGTGGAGCTTGGGATGGCAGAAGTTCATTACAAAGGCTAGAACTGCCATGTTCTTTGCACCTCTCTCCATGCAGTTTTTTTCCACATGGGTGCTCCTCTGCACGCTGGTGTGGAGCTAACTGAAGCAGAGGTGGTGTTCCTGTCAATCAGCATCTCCCATGAGAGAGAACATGGTTGGCAGATGTGTCAGCAGTCTTCCTAGTTTCTTCAACCCAAGGGTTTGCTCCTGTAAGCTCCAGTATAAACTGAAGCTGTATTCACACGTACTGAAAACTCCTGAAAATGTCCTGAATTTGTCCAGGTGAGCTGCAATTGTGAACGCAAACAGCCAAATTTCTCATCCAAAGTTTACCCAGACTTTTTTCTGTCTGCCCCCTGGGAAATTGTCCCTCCCCCACCCCTCCATCGTCTGCCAGAGAAAACTTCCTACTGTGAGGGACAAGTGAGAAGAAGTAACACAAGTGCATGTGGGAAAGCAGCTATAGACAGCTCAAGATTCAGACAGTGGTCAAGCACAGATGACCTTCCACTCACACTAAGCAAACCCAATTCAATCCCTGTCCAGCTGCAATATCATGAGATCAGGGCTCAGTTTGGTGTGTCCATTGTATTGTCTGGCGGATCTAAAAGCACAGTCAGTAGAGCTGTAATGATTAAATGTCCCTTGGTTAACTTTAAGGGCCAAGAGCAACTGGTCTTTTTGTTGGTCAGACTGTGCAATGGAAATACCCACAAACTCAGATTTTAGAGCAGGAGAGAACTTGAATGAAAGGCGTGGAGAGCCAGAGCGGGAGAGAGACGGCCAGAACTGCCAACTTAAGGTTGCAAAACTCATATTATTTCCTTTATGTATCCTTGGTACCCATTTGGCTAACGTCCATGATTCATGGCACGTATCCATCTCCAACCCAACATAGTCCCATGAGGTACTTAAGAAACTAAAATGATCTTGGAAAAGATGTAGCCAATCAACCTACTGTTTCCAACCCTAATTAGAAGTGACAAAACAGCGATAAATACAACAATGGGATTTTGTAACAGATTTCCTGAGTCTGACAAATGCAATGAATAAAGAATGTAAATTAGCAATCCAAAAAATTACTCTTGACAGGAGAGTCTCTAGTGGCACATTACGCTGGCACTGAATGAGCTGTGATATTTAAACCACGTTTCCAGGATATTGGCAATCTCAGGCCTTGATCACACTGGTTGTTGGTTGGCAGCAAACAGCTGTTTTTTTTTTTAGGCCTGCTGCAGTGAAGTAAGGCAACTGGGTTCGTGGCTATAATGTGTGTAAGTGTGCATAGCAGTTGGGGGTCTATCATACACCCTGAGGGAGGAAGTTTTGAATGCTACATCGCTCCCATGCTGACCCTCTCAACACTTATTTATTTTGAAAGACAGCTCTGATAGCCGCCTTTGAGCTCATAATTCTTTTAGCCAGAGAGCTTGCTTGTCATACAAAGTGACAAGATATGCTTTGTCTTGGGAGTGTATGTTAAAACCGAGGTGTTGTGAAATGTGACTGAGGGGAGAGCATGCCTATACCACATTCACACAGATCCAACTATACATAAAGCAGCACAGTGTGTGACCATTGCAACAAATCTTCCCTGCAGAGCAGTGGGTTGACACCCGCAGTCACTGGTGTGGGGCCTCTTCTGGGCAGCTGATAAGAACCCCTGTGGATAACGCTGGAGTTACTGCATTTGGTTTATGGCTCATATTAACCCATTCATTAGCTGCTGAAAGGAGCTCTTGCAAAGCAGAAACATTGGAATACAATTTATGAACATCCAAAAAGATAGCTTGCTTATGAATGAGCTTCATCTTGCTAACACTGTGGCCATGTCTTGGGCCCCTATGGAATCCAGTTGATGTGTAGCTGTAAAATACAGTTCTGTTATGTTGGGAAAATATAGTCCCTATTGCTGTGGCTCTTATAATGGGTGTATTTTCTATGTAGTGAAGCAAAGTCAGACTTGCATTTTAATTTTTATAAATGAAGGCCCATTTTTTTCAATCTCTCATGGGAAATTAGTAGATAATGAATGGTAGGGCCAATTTATAAGGATGACAAAAAATCCTATGATGTTTTGAATTATTACTATATATTACATTTTTGCAACAAATGCTACAATAGATCACGATATTCAGTTTGTCCTAACAGCCCAGTCTCTCTGCCTCTGTCTCTTCCAGTCCGGTGGGGTTTGTTTTGGCTGTTTGGTGCCTTTTTTTCTTGTTGGACTTGTATGTCAAATGTCTGTATTTCTCACATGGTAAAAGGCATGTATTGTGTTTTTGAACTATGTAAATCTATAAACACAAATAAAGTGAAAACATATATGTATATTAAAATGAATTAATTAATGATGCATTTAGATTCAACTTACATGCATACCAATTACAATTTTAAGGACTGTAAGTTTTCTTATACATGCCTAAACAAATGATAACTGAATTAAAGTGTTACTCCAAGATGTGGTAAACAATTGTTTATTGGTAGAGTTGGCCAACTGAAGTTGAGCCGTTCCTACTATTTGAAGTTTGGTGAAGGATGTCAAAGTCAAAAGCATTGCTTTCTCAATCCCACCAGAATAAGTTTTATTTACAGCAGAACATGAATTGGTTAGTTTATGGCATGATGATAGACTTAGTTTGGTTTGGGTTAGGTTAGGTTAAGTTATATATATATATATATTTCAGGTGTGTAGAGAAACAAACAATCTTAAGAAAACCCTCTAAATACTGTCAGAATTTCTCAAACCATTAAAAAAATATATATATCAAATATTGAACACTAGCGTTTTCTAAGGGCAACCTCTAGTGTCAAAGTGCTTCATATCGCAAGCATACAGTGTAAAAAGTGTATTCATCCCTTGTCTCCTGACAGAGCTCTATCTGTCACATGCTTCAGGAGCCTTAGTGTCAGAAAACCTGACAGTAGGGTTCCAGATAGTGAGTGGCTGAGTGAATAAGCTGCTTACTTCTTGTTTTCCTTTACCTCTGCAGTCCACTATTTTTTTTTTTTTAAATAGATAAGATCACACAGACAAACTCTAGTGTAATAATAAGCAGCTGCTCTGTAAGTGATTTCGGAGCGTATGTTTGAAAGCTCAGACGTAATGCCACGTTCCAGGCCTCTGTGCAGGAGCACACAGCAGCTCTGATCACGTCTTCCTAGTACCCCTCACCTTCATTTAACATATGCACCTTTGAGCTCTTGCTTACCAGTTGCCTATGTCAACTAACAAAGAATATTCACTGACCGGCAATTAGCTTCCAACCCCCTAAACTATCCGTTTATGGATGTTGAATGTGAACTGTTTAGTGAACACGACATGCAGAGCGCAGCTGAGAACAAGGGTCAAATGGGAAACTGGATTAGAGAGTCATGACTGTAGCAGTGATCACATCAAAGTGGGTCTCTCTCTGAGATCTGATGCTACGTGACAATACAAGATGTTGTTCTTTGAGCAGTTTGTACGAGTGGGATTCAGATTAACTTGCCACACATCAGAATCAGTTAGAGTCAAAATGCACACAGCACGAGGATACAGCCGCTCGGGTAGCAGGGTTAAAGTGAAAAATACAAAAACGGATTTTCACCAGAGAACAAGATGTCTTTCTCTTCCAATTTTCTCTGACTCATGAAAGTAGGATGAAATTACTGTTGTTGGTTAAAACACGTTTCAGTGAGCACATGAATCTAAAAGGCACACATGCTGAAAGTGAGGGGAAAAAGTCCACATGCTCAAATGGAAATGTCGATGGTTGGTACCAACCATGTTTGTTGAATTTTTGCAAACCCTTTTAAGTAACAAATGAGTTCTATCCTCACTTTGTAAATGCTATGATCAAATTACTTGTGACATTGAATATTGGAAAGCTGGTTATGAACACCAAGCATGGATGTAGGACAACAATTGATTGTCATATTTGGATGTTTTGTTATATTTGGATATGTTGTCTATTTGGTTGTGTTGTTTTCTTTAATTGTTATTTTTTGGTGAGCATGATGAGCAAAAGCTATCAGACGTCCCCTCTCCACGTCTTTCTGAGGGACCCTGAGGACTCTCCATGCAGGATGCCATATCTAAGCCCTCCAGTGTATTCTTGGTCTACCATGGGGTCACTGTCTCCGACATGCTTGCAAAACCCTCAAAGCCCTGGAGTAGTCCGTAAAAAGTGCTCCAACCACCTCAGTGGGTTCCATTTGATATTACAGACAATTGTACAACACCACTCCTTGCTCCCTCTGCATGTCTGTTACTAACCCTATCTTTAAGACTGTACCCTTATTAAAGAAATCATTTCAGCTTTTGTGTTCAATCTCATTTTGATGGCATTTCATGACCATAGGTAAGGGATGGCTTGAGCTGTAATTTGAGAAACTCCTTCTTCACCTCAACAGCCTGGTGCAAAGCCCTCATTACTGCGGACACTGCATAAATCCACAAGTCAGTCTCACTTTCCATTTTACACTTAGTCATAAACAAGGTTCCGAGATATCAGCTTCAGCTTCCTCGTAACCCACTCTATTTGCATTAGAGTTTCTTGCTCTGATGATGACCATCAACCTAAGACGGGAGATGTACATGCAGCTAGGTCGAACGTGATTGGCTAAGAAGAGTAGAGTAGTTTATTTCTTCTTCTGCTTGAGGTTGTTACAATGTAGGGCCTTTAGGTCCGGTCAGCCTCCTCTGGGGCTTCATTTTAGTGCGCCTGTCAGGATTTTGGCCCGGGGAACCAAATGAATTCAAGTTCCTTTCTGTTTTCATTTGAAACACTCAGCCAACACCTCGGGCTCTGGGTAAACCTATAAAGGCTCTGTCTAACTCTTTAACTCTCCCTCTCTCTTTGAGCATAGTACATGTTTGAATAAGGTTATGAGATTGTGGTGCTACATTAGGGGGAACAAGACATTGCAGCAATTGGATTTAGCATTTTCTTTTACGAGAATCATGAGAACTTTTAAAATGTTAAAGTTATTAAACCAAACAATGTTTTCCACAAAATAATATCATGATTCTTGATTGAAGTCAATGAGAGTAATATGTTTTAGGGTTAGATGACTCCTGATGAAATAGCTCACACGTTATTTTCACCGACCAAATACATTTTTTTAGGTGTTTATCCTCTGTTTGGTCTTCATCAGACTATTTAAAATTATACAATTAATAGTTGTTTGAGTTGGAGAATCTGGACTCTTGTGATGTGTTGTGACTGGTTTTCTGTTCAATGTCAAATCTATTTTGTCTGCCAAAAAATTACACTGACTGGTGCAATTCTCAATCAAGAAGCCTCTGCAGACAGTCACAGAAAGCGGTTAGCTTTAAGCCCAATGCTAATTATATCATTTTTGTAGTAAGCATGATATTAAAAAATGCTACCAAGAGGCCTGGATTTTTTTTGTGCTGATGTTATTGTGATGTTTTAAGTCTCTGGAGTAGGATTTGCAAACTAGTGCATCTTAGTTGCTTTCGCACCTGGATCTTATGCCTTCAAAAATCAATCAGACTACAAGAAGTTCAGTGACGCATGCGTATACGGGTTGTTAAAAAGAAATTAGAAACAGTACTCTTTCTAGCTGGAGTTCCCTGCTAAATCCAGAGGGAAGCACTGCTAAGACAAGGCTTCACGTCTTACATCCACCTGTGTGAACAGATGAGCCGTTCAAATTGTGCGGTATGTGTGTCTTCTCTGGATAATTGACAATAAATCATGTTTTGGGGGGAAAAGGGCAAGTTGAGGGAGCATGTATGTGTGCCTGGGGAAGATGGGGTGTCGGGGTTGCAGGAAAAGGAGGGGGAAGATGGAGGGAAAGCTGAGTAAGAGCAAAACTGGTTTTGACTTACTGGAGCACATGTTGAGTTCAGGGCTGCGCATGCCGTAGTATCCGGCTGGACAGTCATGAAGACACTCCCCGTACTGCCTCATCCTCTCCCTTCGCAGAAACAGGAAGAGTTTGGGCTGGCAGTTTACGCAGCCATTGTCCCTGGAGCACACCGAGCAGCCTTTACAGATGGGGTACGCTCCATAGCTAGCTGTAGGACAAAGAGAGAGAGAGAGAGAGTACCAGCAAAGATGATTAATAACATGGAATCAAAAAAATGTAAAGGTGTCAGCATGTTAAAACTAAAGTGCTTTTTGTATGGTGAAACAATATCTGACTCCCCATCCACCAACACACACTTCTTAGGTCTATCAGGGACTGAAATCTACAGTCCAAAGGAAAGCCAATCGTATTCTTTACACAACTAATTCTGTCAATTCTCCATTTTCCTACAAGAGTAACTTCATGAAAGCCTTTGAATACAATATCTGCAGTGTGCAAGGACAACTCCATTGTATTTATATTCATCAATGGTAAGACATATGACTGATCACAGCATGCCAACCTGAGGACATCCCTCAGACTAAACTTCTCCAATGATGGCTGGCAGGCAGTAAGTTGCAGACCATTAGGCAAGCGCCGTAGTCCACATCTTTGAACTTGTTTCATCCACAGGTCTGTGGCTGTTAACAATCCAAAATAGTCCTATCGCTGGCTATAGTGATGTGGTTGCCCACTGAAATCAGTCTGAAAAGCTGCACCTGGATGCTTAGGTCATACAGTAGGTTGTAGCTCATACTCAAAGTAAAATGAATTTCATTTCATTAGATTTTTTGTTACAGTGGCTGAAGTAAGACTGTGCCCAAAGGGAGCTCTTCAGGTTCATCAAAAGGGACAAAGTAGCGGCAATACTTAAAGAAATGTATGTTTTATATAAATGCTGACAGCCCTAGATTCAACATTAACTTTACTGCAACGGCCTTCCATAAGCAACCAATGAGATGGTTGTCATCCATGATTTGACATTAAAGCAGCCAGTGAATAGCCTGAGAGAAAGTAGTAATGTTTCAAAATGATGTCAGCACAATAGTTAGTTTTTACTAGAGCCGCAGTGGGAGATGCATCAAGCATGGCGGTTCAGAAGGCTATTTATCCTGATCTTGTATAAGAAAACCAAAATTCTTTGAGAAATTTGTATCATCATTCAACTGTGAATGACCCTGACTTCACCCAGTGACAAGGACAAGGGTGAATTTGAGGCAACAGACTCAACTGTGGGAGGGCCAACCAGTGGAAGACAACCCAAGTACAAGAATAAAACCAGAACAACCATAATAGATATATCAGCAGGATATTTCATAATTCATAGTAAATATGTTCAATTCAACAATTTGTCATTCATGCAAACTCTGGCTCCACTCTAAATGTTTGAACGCTGATTGGTTATGAATGTGAATATTGCATTAATTCTGGTCAGAGCTGGCCTTCTGAACGATTGTGTTGAGACAGCCGATGAAAGACCCCAAAACCACACTGCCTCTGGCCTCAGCTCGAGTTGCCTGCGGAAGACAAAGGAGCCAGTTAAGAGACAGTCCATTCCCCAATAAGTGACTTTCAGTGTAAACTTCATAGGGTCCCGTTTACAGGAAAATGTCCTTGGGCTAAAAACAAAATCTCTCAGAACGAAAGAGACTTGATTTGATGCAAGCCAAGTCTTAAATATCACAAGCAGGGACTGGGTAGCAGCGCTGCTCAAACTGAGAGACCTACCACAACGCTTAAATTAAACACTGTTCAACAAACTGGACAAACCCTGAGAGACGGAGCAAAGCATGTCTGCGTTACTGGCTGTGGATCAGCATATTAAATTTCTCTGAACAGATTCACCCAGACAAAAGTACATGTAGGCGCTAAGTGGGCCCAGTGCAAGCATCAGTTTGTAATCATGGGAAAATCAGTCAGAGGATGTCAGACACTTTCTTTCTTTATTTTCTTAGAGTGTCTTCAGAGAGAGCTAAGCTGGCCCTGTCAGACTACACTGGAGCTGGGGTTGAAGGAAGGAAGATAAAGTGCTAATCAGAATGTGTCTGTGTTGGTCCTCAGGGATGAAGCTTATACAGCGACACCTCACTGATCACAACAGTGGGTGCGCTCTTTGAGCCAATTTATACACTGCTGATTGTTCATGTCTAGATGGCACTAACTCTGATAGACATGAAAGAAAAATGCCCAAATTATGACTTGTGGTTTTGGCCTTTTCCAATTCTCAGATGAAAAATTGTGTCTTATGTTCAACTGTCAATCTATCACTTCAGGTGATTTCGTATTTTAGTGGCAATGCAGGTTGTCTATAAATATAAGACAATATCTCTAGAAGCAGTTGGACATTGGTTCAATGGTTAGTGCTATTGCCTCACAGTGAGAAGTTTCCTGGTTTCCTGGTGAATGTGACTGGTAGATTGTCTCTAATATGTTAACCCTGTGATTGACTGCAGACAGTCCATTGTGTACTCTCACCCAATGACAGCTGGGATCGTCTCCAGCCCCCCCACGACCCTGAACGGGAAAAGCGGTATAGATAATGGATGGATGGATCTCTAGAAGCTGTTGGCTTGCTTATTCCACACAGATGTTGGTGATCATGTTTTGAAATTATTGCAGCACAATCCAATCAATATCAAAGCTCCTGTGACAAATTGTCAGATTGTGTTGATTGCATGTGTAAGTAGTGTTTTTTTATGTAAATTCTTAATAAAAAATCTTATTTTGCTGTCTTTTAACAATCAAACATATAACTAATTGAGGAATCTCTGCGATGGAAGAGGTTTAGAAACAGTCTTTTTCTGCAGCTTGCTTTCACTTACTTCATCTGAAATCCACCCAGATATTTAGTTTAGACACTGATAATGAATAAAGGATATAGTAATGTTGTCACTAATGGTCTTGTTTGCTTGACTAGGTCACATGGATGCATTAGTATTAATTATAGCATCTTTCATAACCAGTGAAAAAAACCTCACAGGAGCTATAAAGCATTTTTTTACTCTGATATACTTTTTAAACTATGTGCCCAACATACATGACTAATATGACATTCAGACATGCCTTGATATTCTTGCTATATCTTTGAATTAAAATCTAAATGTAAAATGTCACTTTTATTTAAAGTTTTTGCAGCTGTATTAAAAGTGCTTCTCTTCCCTGTCAGGTAACACCACAAACATCATTTCTCATATGTATCTCTTATATCATTCTGTCAAACCTCCCATTCAGTAAAACTAAACTGCAACATTAGCCCAAACCATATATTTCTGTAGCATATACAGTCTGGATGTGTTTACAGAAAACTGACATTCACATTAACATGGTTACATTTACTCCCTCAGCCCTTGCCAAACCTGAACACAACACCGACAGAAAGGGAAGGCCAACTTGGCAAAAGGAAAGAGCTATGAGGCTGGAAAGCGTATTTCTCCCTCCCCATTTTGAGTGGGCTCGACTCTATAACTAATAACAGTGTGTGAACAATACTGTCCTCAAATAATAGAAAAATATAATCATGGCTTTCAGTCTTCATAGTTCACTGGCCAATCAATCAGCAGAGAAATAAGTGTCACTCAAAAGTGTCTTCATGACTCTGGCTTGAAAATCCTGCTCTGCTCTTTGTTGTCAATCATTTGTTGTGCTGGTTACTAGTCTCAAAATGTGCTCTGATTGAGGATAAGATAATCACACGCAGTTTGAATACATCTGATACCACATCCTGGAATTAGAGTACAATTGGAGGAAAAAAAAGGGGAAAGAAAAAGCTGAACAAAGTGGAGAGAAACTCTTTAAGTGCTTATGTTTGGAGATTAGGTAGCACGTGTGTGTCTGTGGAAAGGTTTGGAAGTTTCAGGCCACAGGTATGTCAGGAAGGAGGCCACAATTCACAATGTCTGGAGCAGCGCTCTCCAACTCACGTTCAACACTACCGGCAAAAATGTCTTGCACACTTTACATCAATCTATCAACTGCCAGCAGGTTTCAGCCATTCTTAACGAAAAAGCACTTTTTTTATTTTGAGACTAGATGAAATACTGTATGAGTTGCTCTTTCACACTCAAACAGAAACAGTAGAAAATAAAGTGTTTAGAAGAGGCTTGTGAGTAAAAATATACTACTTCAGTGGGCTTTATTGGCATGAAAATGGAGAACAGTTTGCCAAAAGCATGCAGCAGTAATGTTTCTAAGTGGAGATAAAAAAAAAAAAAGGAAAATCAAAGGAAAATGGGTTAAGTGTTGCTCTGAAGTCTCTGTAGATCATTGCAGCTTAAACTGATTTGGCAGGCACATAAAGCTGTATGTTTAGTGTGCTGGGGATGTGTTCTGAGTTATGGATGTGGTTTGAGCTTTGCATATTGTGTCTTTTGCTTGTTCTCAGACAACCGATACGTTCTTAACCAGCCCATCCAAACATTTAAAAAAAACAGGCTGTGTGTCATGTTTTGACACATGCTCAACTGCCCTTTATGGATTCTTCTTTCCCCCACAAATCATGTCTTGCCTCAGCACTTCTAGTGTTTCTCCTGTTCAAACCCAAGTGACCCAGACATAGAGAAGCTATAGACACAGTGGTCATCATGAGAATACTGTATGTATGGATACCAGGATTACCAAACATGCTTTAAAAGACAGGGGAGTGGTGTACAAGATATTCAAAGTGCCACTCCCTGCACACGATAAACCATTGCCGTTTATGGTTTCAACCACAGAATACAAATTACGTGAAACAAAACAAATCCACTGTTCCCACTTCTAACAGCTAACTGAAGATCCTTCTGAGCCTGAAGAATAGTATTTACAAAAGCTCCAGCTTGTATGGATGTCACTGAAGAAGCCTCTGAAAAGACTTTTAATACAAAGACTTAATAATTGCCTCAATGTGTCATGTCTACAAGGCAGAGGTCTTGCTTGAAGATGCTACTCAAACACATGCACCACATGAAGAGTGTTTCCCATATCCTCTTCCTCACCCATCAACTATATATTGTGACAGCGTTACTATTGTGACTGCTTTCTGTGTTAGAAATAGAGAAAAAAGCTTAGCAGTAGATCTAGAAACAAGGGTAGCAACTAGCCCGGTGTTCTGTTGAGATGTACAAAATGATAGCAGAGGCTATCAATATCCCCTATCGAGTAATGCAATCAAACAAAAGAACTTCATATTAA